GTTTTAAGAGTACATATTTGAGTTCACACACTTGAAGTACAGTGTCTAAAACAGAATATGACTCTAAACATGTTTGTTTGGTGGATAAACAAACAGAACAACCTGAATTTAAATCCTAAATGCACCTCATGTGGATGTGTGCACACGTGCACTGGGGATTAAACCCAGGGGATTGGGCGTGGTAAGCATGCATTGCACCACTGACTTAAATCCCAGTCCTAAGGTTCTACCTTTCCTGAGTGGTTTTATCCAGGTAAATTGCCTAACACTTCTAAGGCTCAATTCCTTCATTTTAAAGATGGCTAGCAATAGTACCTACTTTTTCTGAATATTAAATCAAAGAATACATATAAGATAGTATAATATCTGACAGCACTTAAAAATTGCTAATAATAATATCACAATATTATTATTATTGTCATTAACATCTAAATTGTTAGCCTGTATAAACATCACCCAACTTAATTCTGCATCAATTTACTTGCAAAGATGCATTGCTTCCTAAACATTCTGACAGGTGATATGACTGCAGTTTTTTAAGCTGGAATTAAAAGAAAAAAATCTATTAATTAATAAACTTCCACATATTAAGGAAAGACATGACAAGTTGCACACCTTCTTTTTAAGAATGTGTGAATTCTGTGGGGGAAATGTGTGAAAACTAGTGTTTGAAAAGTAGATTAAAAATAGGTCTTTAAGAAATAAAAATCTGTGTCTTTTGGCATTGCTAAAATGTAGAAAACACATCTGCAGTATTTGGCACCAATGGCCAGATTGAAAGATACAGTACCTAAACTCAGGCTGGATTTAGTTTCCCTGAAGCCACCCACAACTTCAAAGAGTATTTTCTAAATGCATATGCTCAGGGTTTTTGTTAACCCAAATATTAGAAAAGATTTGAAAAGTTATACAGAAACTAGCTAGTCAAATGCAGAATCTAGTTCAAACTCTGGATTTTGGAGAAGAAAATACTTAAGGCCTAGAGATCTCAAAACTGCTTGGTATTTTTTAGATGGCACAAGGTGGCTTATTATAATCTCTTGGTGCCAATATGCCACTTTCTGAATGAAGGTTTCTGGCACAAAGCTCATAGGACAGAGGCACAATCAGTCTACTTTTTAGTATGTTTTAGGACTCTTCACTTGGTAAGAAGAAAAAAGAAATGAATTCTCTGGAGTCAAATGTCCCTGCACTGTTTCTTCAGAGCTAAGTAAATTGCCTTTGCAAGGCACAATTCAATAGCTGACAATGACCTTGTCTAAAAGGCTTATTCATAAGGCTGGAATTTTTTAAAAAAGTAACAAAACAAGACAATAAAATAAAAATCCTTGGCCATTAACTCCACACTCAGAATACACTTTTGCAATGGTTAAAAAGGATGTCTTTCTAGTAGATATAAGACTAAATTCCAAAGGAGAAAGCTATAGCACAAATATAATGACAAAGTTCAATGTTTTTGCAAATTATTAGCAATTAATTTGCATAATATCAAAGAGGAAAAAAATTGATTCTACCTACTAGGTCTTTTTTTTTTTTTTGAGAGAGAGAGAGAGAATTTTTTAATATTTATTTTCAGTTTTCGGTGGACACAACATCTTTATTTTATTTTTATGTGGTGCTGAGGATCGAACCCAGCGCCCTGCGCATGCCAGGCGAGCGCGTTACTGCTTGAGCCACATCCCCAGCCCGCTATTAGGTCTTTTTAATACCCCCACTCTTGCCACTTCTCTTTCTCTTTTCAATATTACAGCTTTACCATTGCAGATAGATAGAGCCAGAAGCAAGTTCTGAACTAGAACAGATGGCTGAGGACAGTTTTTCAAAATTAATTCCATGGGCTGTTAATAAGTGTTATCTGAAAGAAAAGGTGTGTGGAAAACACTGTATTAGTTAAATTTAAATAGGCTTCCTCACTAAAAGACTTGTTGGTGCCTTTTATATGCAAATGTGCATTGGGAATCTTTTGGGGAGAATTGTGTAAAATACAATTTTCCACATTTTCTTATGTTGAATTTCTCCTCCACAAATCCCCACTTTAGTATTGTATACTAGTGCATGAATAGCCAAAAAGAAGTTTAACCATGGCTTGAAAGCTCCCAAAGTCTATCAGGTGCCATAAAAGGAAAACCATTTATTCCCCGAGTGAATTCTTCTTGGCTTCTTCAAAGGCTGGTTCCTACCCTGGGAAAAATTGGCTGAAACCCATTTTGGCTAAAGCGGGCTTGTTGTACTAGAAAGTGCTTTCCTGAGTAGAGAGGTATGGTTCAGCTGTAAGAGGCCATGGGAAGACTTGTGTCATGCAAAATACGTAAAAGTTAAAAGTAAGACTTCTTGCATTCCAGTAGAAAGAGTGGAACGAGTTGGAAGCAGTTCCTCTCCCAGCTCTTGCTACCTCTTCTCCACCTTTACTGGGTCCCCAGGAACTCCTCAAAATTTTGCAGACGCTAAGGGCTAAGGCTAACAATAACACATTCATGTGTACATATCTCCCTCATTTTCTAATCTGGTGAGAGAGGGGATAAGTTGTTAATTACCAGAACAATGAATGTTTGTAGAGTGCTTTCAGTAAATTTAAAAAAGCCTTCTTGTGTTGATGGAACTAGCTGGGTTTAGGCATAGGAAGGCTGGAGAGAAGTGACTATTGTTAGGTACAATAACCTGGAAAAGGATGTCCCCAAAGCAATCTGAATGTAGGGGGAGAAAAGTAATGAGAAAAAAAAAGGAAGAAGAGGGCATCTAGTCAGAGGAGTGAGGCTGAGGGGCAAAGAGGGGTGTATATGTCACCAAGGAAGATATCCCAGGACAGAAGGTTTGTGATTACAGAAGAATCTAAAAATTTAATTCTAAATTCTGTACATTACAGTCATTATAAAACTTCCCTGATCTCCTTAGATCTCCAGGAAAGGGTTAAATCCATTGTAGGAACTTGTAGAAGCATGAGGCACGTTTCATGTCTCAGAATGGAACAGACACAGATCAAATGGGAGAATTGACTCATCGAATGATGCTCTCCAGCAGAAGTGAGGGTAAGAACCATCAGAGCATAATCTAGACAATAGCAGAAATCACAGGGAAATCCTACATGTGCTTGAAATTGGTGTACAACATAGGATAGGCAAACTTATTTAAATTTCAAGAAAAAAGGAGATACCAGCTGATATCTGAATAATGAAAGGAAGCTATGAAGAAGCTTTTTTGCAAGGAAGAACCTTTCATTTCAGTGATTTGGGGCTCTCATTACCCCATAATGCCAATAATCCCCATGAGTTGGCCATTGGGATTATAATCCTAATGATCGATTGTCTACATATATACTTGTATTCCTTACTGGCACTCGAAACTAAGCATGGCCCTAATTCTATCTTCTCTGCTTCCTTTCCAAGTCCTTGTGTCTTGGTTTCCTGCCTCTGTGAATATTTCCTTCACCCACCTTAATTCTCAATCAGAAACTACATTCTTACCTCTTTCTGTCATTCATACCACATAGCTAATTGATCACTAATTTGTCTAAATTTTCACGGCTCACTTATCACATTCTAAGTTTTCTTTCTTCCTTAGTTTAGCTTGCACTCCCTCTTGCTAACACAGTTCTAAGCTCCTTTTAATGTCCCACTGTCTCCATCTATTTTTCAGGTTGCATTAATTATAATCTAAAAATTCAGATTTGGTCATTCAGCTGCTAAACATCATTATCCAGCTCCCATTGCTCGCAGGATGACGTTCATTGTAGCCTGACTAAAAGATCTGTGGCAAGTGTATTCTTGCCTGCTGTTATAAGCTTCTCCTGTCATCCCCACCTTGTATTCTGCTCTAGAAGGTCACCCATCCTATTTTCATCTCAAAATCTTTCTCCTTGTTTTCTTGTCCTTGAACCAAAGCAAAACCTTAATGCTTTGTCTCTTTATCATAATTAGAATTATTAATTAAACATTAAAAATAAGATATCTGACAAGGGTTTGTATTCCCTTTTCAGGTACTGTTTACATTGTTTAGCATGGGTAATTCAAAAGAATAAATAATATGGGTGATTCTGCATGTTCTGTCATACTGATAGGCAAGAGCTACAGAGATCTTTGATGATTTTTCAAATCGTACCTTGCAGGTACCCACCACTCTACATGGCTGGGCTTGACAGATGGAAGGTCTACTCCCTCTCTGCAGAGTAAGCCTTCGTTATGGGGCAGGATAGCAATGTAGAGGGCCTAGCATGTGACTTGAGAATGGAGTCTTAAATCTGTTTCATCATTTACTGTCCAAAGGACCTAAGGCAAAACATTTCATTTTTCTGAATCTCATTTTCTTAAATCTGTAAGACAGTATTTACTTCCTAGGATTGTTAGCAGATCAAATGACATTTGATACGTTAAAAGACTCTATAGTCAGTAGAAAAATAGCTTTTTGAAATCTATAAAGAACTAGACAAAGTGAAAGGAATGCTGTGAGAAGAGAACTAGAGATAGAGTCAAAATACATGGTGTTAGGGGTTGATCTGTGTCCTACAAGAAGCATCTTCAAGTCCACGTCAGTACCTCTGAGTGCGACTTCATTTGGAAACAGGGTATGTTCAGAAGTAATTGAGCTAAGATGAGGTCTTTAAGGTGGGTTTTAATGCAACATGACTGTTGTCCCTATAAGAAAAGAAGATAGAGGCACATGGGGAGAAGACCTTGGGAAGAAGGAGGAAGATCAGGAGAGATGCAGCTGAAAACCCCTCTAAGAATTATCAGCCATCACCAGAAAGTAGGAGAGAGGCAATGATCTTCCCTCAGAATCCCCAGAAGGAACCAACTCTGCTGACGCCTTGATTTCAGACTTCTAGCTTCCATATCTGTGAGAAAATGCATTTCGATTGTTTTAAGTTATCCAGTTTGTGGCCCTTGGTTATGGTAGCCCCAGAAAATGGATACTTGTCAGTATGGATTGTTGCTTGACCACTTGGTGACTCTATGGATTTGACTTAAGTTATTTGCATTTCCCCTGGATACTTTGAGGACACTTACCTTTCTGTGATTGTTTCTCTGAGGCCACTTGCCACACCTTTGACCACAGTGCTAGCTTTGGGGGTTAGCACCACCTGAGAAATAAAAAACGAGCCCTTCTTTCTTCTCTCAGTGATAGATGCCTGAAGAAACTGGATCAGTTTTTCAGGGTCTGTGGTGTTGGCCCAGGGTGCTGGCATCATCTGCCCAGGCCAGAGAAAGGGCACTTCCAGAGCAACTGGACTGTGGTAGAAGACCAGCACTTGGTAGTCCTTCTCCCACAGGTACTTTAAACTAACTTCCTGGGCAAAAATTGCTGGGCACATTTTGTTTCCATAGATATCTTTCAGCATTTGGACCAGTTTTTCATGGTGATATTTCTGCATCCCATAAAAATGGTTGAAGTCCAAGAATACCACCTCCTTATGGTGATCCGTGAGGAATGCATTGATCTCTTCAAGGCCCTCATTGACTTTGGCACTGAACAAACCATGAGCGAAGTAGAGTTCGTTATCGGGGTCTCTGGGCTTGGTGGAAATTCGAAGATCAAAATAACGGATTCCAGCTCCTAGCTGACCAGTGAAATTCATTGTTTGAGTGGCTAGCCATTTCCGCATCAGCTTCTTGGCTACAGTTCCAAACACAGAGACAAAATTCTGGACAGTTTCTGGCTGTTCAGGGCCTACTGGAGAGGCTTCATCAATGTAGAAGCTGAAGGAATCATGGGACCCTGGGGGAATAACAAGCACAATGTGATTAATGTCCAGTCCTCCATCCTTCCCACCTTCTTCCTTGTTGTAGCATCCACAGTTTTCCCTTAAATAAGTCAGTGGAAATGCTAAGCACAAGTTAGTTAATTTTTGTACTTTAGGGGGATCTTTTTTATAACCTACTCTTATGTCCTAATGTAGGACACAGACTACTTTAATTGACTAACCTGCTTGCAAATTAATTAGAAACATTTCCTTTGGATCGATATTTTGAAATTTAAATAGTCATTTGCTTCTTTGAACAATGAATTCAGTGTATTCACTGGGACTGGCTTTCCATATAGGTGGTATAAGTCATCATTCATAAGAAAGATGTGTGGGCACTCACCAGTTTCCAACACTTTGCTTGTAATTTTACTCTTTCCCTCATTGTGGGTTGTTTTTAACCATAAAGGGATTATATTAAAGAAGGGAAAAAAGCCCCTTTCACAGGAAATCAATGTATGAATCTTTACCTCATGCACTTCAGGAAGCACAAGAGATAAAGGAGATGGCAGAGAAATAAGACAAGAGTATAGCACAATGCTGGTGTATTTAACTTCACTCCTGACCTTGTGGGAACTTAGAGGAGACTAAGTACTTTTCACATACTGAATACATAATGATTTTTTTTTTTGCAGTTAATACAACAGACAACATTTTAAAATTAACTAATAGACTCTGTTATTCACTGATATTTTCACTCAATAGCTAACACTTTAGAGTTGGCTTCCAAATTTAAAAGATTTCTTCCTCAGAACAAGAATTATTCATTCAGTTATTTTGGGCAGTTGTAAGTATCAAAACTCCACGAATGCAGTAATGAACATGTGTATCGATCATCTAAGAGCAGAAAGTACAATTAAAAACATAATTGGAACCCAGTGAAGAAAAATTAGTTCAAGGTTGAGCTTTACTTTTCAAATTCTCCTTTAATTCTTGGACATGATCTACTGAATAGCTAAAATTAAATTAATGTATCCTGGGTGTTTCACACATTGGAAGCAGCAGATGTACTTCCAATCCTGACACCTTTTCTTTCCTCTTTCATGACCTTGTTCCAGGACTGTCACTCTCCATCTGTTATTCAGGCTTTTCCTGAGTACATGTTGTTGCCTGAGTCCTGAGGTCTGTCCTTTAAGGCACAGCATTTTCTAGATTTTTCAATTTCCTAACACAAAACTCCCCCATACAAACATACATACACACCTCCCTGAGTTTATCCATTGAACCCCCTTGGGCCTTTGTCTGATAAGCTATTTGAAGCATTTTTTTTTCAGGAATGCAATATATGTCTATATCTAGATTCCATACCATACTTATTTATACCTCCATCTTCAGCTATACACATGTCCATATGTCTCTGTGTAGCTTCAAAAGCCCACAGGAATCATCAAAGCAGGGATTTCAAACATCATGGTAGTTGGTAGAATAAAAATTTTTGCAAAGTATCTTGATACTCTGCAAATCATAAATTAAGATTTAGAACAGATAACTTCTCAGGATTATTAGGTTTTTTAAAAAATAAGAAAGGTAACCTAAATATACAGAAATTCAATTTTAATTTAATTTGAAACAGTGTGGTAAATTTATCTTTACTATATGGTATATGAAGAAAATGTCAGCCCTGTTCTTCATTCACATTTTTTTTTCTTTTTTCTTTTCTTCTCATGGATTAGTTGAATGATTCTTAGTATTCCATCTTAATTATTGGCTTATTAAATGGACTGTCTATTTTGACCTTATTAACAAAGGTTAATTTGTGGATATGATGTGTGGAGAGCAGATGAGCCCTAGTCATCAGGTGATCCTGGGGTGTCAGCAAAAGCCAAACCTGGGAAACATTTCTTGCCAAAGGCAAGGATGTTATCAGCCTTGATTCTTGGCTCTGACACTAACAGTGATCAGATGTCCCAGGACAATGTGTTTCCTGGGTGCAGCAGAATGTTCCTAGCACTGCAACAGTAGGATAGCTGCGAAAATGTTTCTAGTTCTATAACTTTTTAGTGCACAAAGAAGCCTCTGATAACTCACAAGCAATTCCCCTATAGTTTATCTTCCTGATTATGGATTCCTATACAATAAAATTGCAGAGCTAGTTCCGGGTCACTGTTCCTTCATCAGAATGCAGTGTCCCACCTGGCCTCAGCTTAGCTTGAAAATGTCTTTGGTTTTTTTTGTTTTGTTTTGTTTTGTTTTGTCTTTGTATTTTTGTCCATCTTTAGTCACCCCTACTCAAGATACTTTGTTGCTGTGTGGGTCACTGCAATGATGTAATTTGTTTATTAAATTATGGATTTAATAAACAAATATTTATATATGTGTGTGTGTGTGTGTGTGTGTGTGTGTGTGTGTAGCTTCAAAAGCCCATAAGAATCATCAAAGCAGAGTAGTAGGTAGAAAAATATTTGCAAAGTATCTTGATATTCTGTAAATCATACATTATATATGTGATATACATATGTGATAATTTTAAATGTCACTTTAGGCATTCTTTTCATGTTAAAAACAAAGTTGGTAGAGAGGAGTTTTTACAATAACAATTCTTTAAGAATAAATAAAATACAGCATGTCTATAATTTAATTTTTATTAATGAAAATCAAAGACCAAACATGGCTATTTGATAAATTAAAATGGTGCATCAAAAAAAATGTATTAACCTCAAAGCTGTATTCTCTAAGAAAATCATGCATTTAAATTGGTATTTAGATTAGAATGCATTAGGCAATGCAGTGCATGGAGACAGGTTTAAGTTTAAATTCCATCAGTAACTCACAGTTTAACACAGGAGGATTATCAGATCATCATCCATACACAGCTTTGATTTTCTGATGTGTTAAGTTAAAATATCACAGAATTTTCTTAAAGAATGAATGAAATCATGTTTCATGAATGTCCCATAAGAGGACTATCAAATTTAAATTGCTGTTATTTTATTATAGTGTTATAAGTAGTGAAACACTGATTTACTTGAGACTAAGAAAATATCACCCAGACAAATACACGTTGGATGACTATGTGAGTGTATGGAAGAAGAAAAGAGACAGAAATTATTTAAGTTGCAGAGTTTAGATGTGGAAATATTTATTGAAAACATGAATCTATCCACTAATTTGCCTAAAAGGTTGAAAATGGAAGCAATCAACATTACCCCATTTTCTTAAGGCTTTGAACAGTATATAAAGACTCACATTCTGTCATATTCATTAAATTGATATGTGACATATTGTAAGTACTAACCCTCCTCATGCAACATATTTACTGTATTATGTATATGAGCTCTTTGGACGAACTTTAGGTTGGTCTCTCAAAATTCTATAAAATTATGGATTTAATAAACAAACAAAAGGAAATTCATCAAATCAATTTAATCTGTAAACCTATAGACCAAAAGGCCCTGTGGGTTAAAAGTTGACATGTGTATGACTGTTCAATTCCAATGTCTATATCCTCACCTTGGAATTCAGGCTCTGACTAGGTCAAAGTAGGAACTGCTTCTCTCCTTGCCTCAGTGTAGCACTGAGATTGCTGGTGACAGTCCCCATGTAGGCATCTGTCTCTTTTCCTGTTCTATTCCTGTTATTTGTCACAGGGCAGAGGTTTCCAAGGCTCCTACTTTCTAGCAAAAGGTTTTGTGCATTTTTGATAGCTTTGTTCTCATATGACTGATGCTACAGTGGTGAAGCATGAGTACCTTTCATCTCTGAACTAAAAGAAGGCTTCCGGTAAGGACGTGGAAGGGCAGATTCATTTTTGAGGCCCTTTTCTAGGTTTGAAGAAAGGCAGGTGGCACTATTTCCACTTTACAGGAGAAGAGATGGGATTCTGGAGTGAAGTTCGCCTCTAGTCTTTCCCTCATGAAAGTCCTAATGCTAGTCTTATTTTGTGACCTCCACTTATTTCCTCCTGTGCACTGAAGATTTTTTTCATTCATGGTTATGTTTTCTCTGAATTCACAGTATATCTGGTCTGCAATACATTTTGTTATTGGATGTTGCTAGAAATTCTTGTCATGTTATTTGAAATTTTCTCAGTCTTTACATCGTGTTCTACACCTAAAACTCCTCACATATATACACTTGATTTTAGGCTAGAGTTTAAGCTACCGAGAGGGGGGGAAATATCTGTACCTTATAGATTCTGTGTCCATTATGACATGTAGCTCAAGTCAGTGAGTCAAAATTGTTCACCTGGGATATGCTACAAGAGCAAAATAACCAATTCTACCTCTAATATTAGGCCTAAAAATATTAAGCCTGATTAGACTCTTTGACAAAGGACCTCCATTGGCTCTCTTTGTCTTTATCGTTTCCACTCAATTATCTCAGATTATTCTATGCAGTCTGGCTCTCTTTATTCCAAATTTGTTTCCATCTTTAATCCACTATAATGAGTGGATTAAAGATGGAAACAAATAATCATAATATCACTATTATGACCCACATAAAAGCACGATAAGATATCATCTGATGACTACAAAAGAAAACTCATCAGTCAGTCACCTCAGTGAATTCATTCCTAAATCCTAGCACAGAGCTTCATAGGTATATAGATAACACCATTGATTAAACAAATGAGTGAATCCTGCTAGCCTTTCTGGAACATTTGGTACTCTGTGCTTTCTTCTTATAGTATTTCCTCTTTTGTCTTTTGTGACACAACTTGTTTCAAGTTTTGTTCCTCCCCAATCTTCTACACTGCCTCGTGTTGTGCCTCCAGCTTCTAAGTAAAGGTGTATCCAAAGCTCTGTTCAGGATGTCAACTTGCTCCATATTTTTGGTTATCTAATTTATTTCTTTAGCTTCTTTTTCTTTCCTATGGATGCATCAAAAATTGATACCATCTAATTTGTCTTGCCTTTCAGGCCCCCTGCCTGCCTACCAAGCAAATAAATTTTATTGCTCCATGGGCATCATGAGCTTAGGTGTCTTCACTGAAACTTAGTATTCCCCTTGAAACATGCTCTTCTCTTATGAACAC